ATTTTGATCATTTATTTTATAATACATTTCCATATATTTTTATTAGAGTACAGATATTTAAAAAATACTACTATTTATTAAAATAACTTATGATCCAAATAGTAAATCGTCACCAAATTTGTCGTATTATTTTTTAACGTAATTTATAGCATAATCTGTATTTTTTTCATAATTTTGTTATCATTTTGAAAATATGTATAAAATATTCTTAAATTAATCATATAATTATATACAAACAGCCAATGGCTCACTTTGAGAAACGGCCCAAATCGGGCCCGGTTACCTTACTTTTAGAAATATTAAATTTTTTAATTTAGAAGAATTTTTCAAAATTCTTCTAAATTTATATTCTTAAAGAAGTTTCAACTTTTAAATTTTTTAAGATAAAGTATCTTGAAGGTCAGTCTAAAGTCTGTTTAACGCATACTTTACACTTAACGATATTTGTAAACGATGTGTAATTTTTTTTCTATGACAAAGTTTTGTTCAAATATTTTCTTATGGGAGAGATTTTTGAGATCAACTTGTCCAAAGATTTACACTTTAAATAATACGATAATATTTTTTTGTTAAATTCTAATGAAATTAAGAAAAGAATTTTGTAATTGCAATTGCAAAAACAAAAAAATACTTAACAATATTGTAAAAATCATATATTTTTTATTAAAAACTTGCTCAACCATATAAAGATCAATATGACTGATTTCAAAGTGGTTGATTCAGTTGATTGTCAAACTTTTTGTTTCAAATCGTGTTAGAAAAACGTTTTAAAGATGTCACGAATTCTTAATCTAAACTTTATTTATAAAACTTTTATTTTCTTTAAAAACATTACGGTTATTGCATTCAAATTTTATATAAATTCAGATCTCGTTATTATGCAAAAATGTACAACAAGATCAGAAATAATCGTGTATTTTGTTATCTAATCAATTCAATGTGGGACCGCTTAAATACATAAATACGCTTATATACATAATTTAAGGGTTAATACATTAATGCAAGAATTAAGTAGACAGACTAATGTAAATAGACTAATTTTTATATCTGAAAAATCGTATATTATTTCAAATTGATTTTTATCGACGTCGTTGTATACGGGTCGATATGAATGGAAATCATTTTTGGTATTTTCTGATAATGATAAAGATAAAGTGATTCCACGAAATTCTCATTATAAAACGAAATCTTTCTTTGATGATCAGAATATATATTGATATTATAAATTATTTTTTGACAACGTTATCTTCGAGGTACGATTAATCACGTTTTAATGTGAACATATGTATGCTTTGTTCAATTAATTAGCAGAGAGAAAAGCTTTGATTTATCTTGTAATTATAAAATATATAATATTAGAAATTTTACAAATTCATGAAAACATACGTAGAATATTATTCAAGAAGTGTCTCTATAGCCATACATATACACATGTGACATAAAAAACCAAGAAAAATAGCGAAGTATCAATAATCGTAGATTAGTAATTTAGAAAGAATCTAGTAAAAGAAGAGTTATTGCCTGCTGATTGCGCAAAAAATTTTTATTTTTTTTCTCTCAGTAAAAAGTTAAAACACTTGCATGAATGCTTCTATATGTACGAGTATATTTATATAACACTATCCAACGCTAATTATAAGGATACATCTTCCTTCAATGTTCTTCCTTGTCCCTATTTTCCATTAAAAATTAACCGCATGAATCCCTCCCGTTTCAATGCGGAAGCTGATAAATAATTTCATAGGGAATAAATGAAGCGGTTACTATAGTTCCGTATAGTGTAAGGGACACTCGTTAACACGCTTGCGCCGGTCTCACGTGTGCACTCTATTCTTGTTTCTATATACACCTGTATGTTCTACGGGACAGAAAGTAACAAGAAGTTACACATCAGTGTTGTTTTAACGGGCGAGCCGCGTAGAGTATCGTTCTGTGCGTCACGGACATTAAAGGTGTTACGCTTTCGCTTTCGCTTATAGCTGTTTCATGATACGCGAATAATTACGTGCGAACAATTAACATTTTTCATTTGCGTTTATAAAGTTGTGTTTATCGATTTATGATGTTTACGATAAAATAAAAAATGCAGCAATTAATCTTCTCATAAAGTGCGCGATTTATCGAATGTATTTAACAATGCAGATTTTTGCAGCTTTAAAAAATTTAATTGCAATTTTAAACGGAGTCTTCAAACATATATTAATTCGCGTATAAATATAAATTAAAAATATGATTAATTTCCAATAGCGCGTGTGTGAAACTCGTTACTTATATTATAATTACGTTATCTTTAATCTTGTTAGACGCACATTATGTCTGTCTCTCTCTCTCTCTCTCTCTCTCTCTCTCTCTCTCTCTTTCTCCTTATTCGATTAGAATTTACATATTAATAAAGTACAATTCGTTCAGCAAAAAATAATATGCTGCGTAAAAAAATTATTATAATGTGATATGTTATATACATTATTAAAACGTGTAAAATTCAATTGTTTTGAAAAATTTTTCGTCCTAATTGTATTATTTTTCTGCAAAAAATTATTATTATTATTATATATTTTAATTAATTGATTTTGTCAGCGAAGAATCATGACAGCGAATGAGAGAAACGAAAAAATATTTATTTACAATCAAAGTTTTAGAATACAATATAAAGATTTACAGTTATTTTTAAATTCAAGATTGTTAGTTAAGTGTGTGTGCCGAGTTATTTTTGTTTATGTGGTTTTCGCTTAGTGATTATTGAGTTAACTGCGTCTGTAATGTTTACAAATCTTTCGTATTACAATGTGACATTGACATTTACTGCCGCGTAAACTATAAGCTTAAAGCTATGTACAAATTGCAACAGGTGCATTTTAAAGACGTGTGCTGAAGTTTTGTGTTATTCCTAGAATTTTGTATTTTACAAAGGTATTTTTCACTAATCGATTTGTAAATGTACCGATATCCATAAATGTATTGATACCGTTCGAGAAAATCGACATGAAACATATTTATCCGCGATATCATTGGGAAAATCGGCTTATCAATCTAATCGTTTTTTCGTGCTTATTGCTTTATGTGTGACTTCAATTCCGGATAATATAAACTTTATAATAGGTACTTTGTGTATCTTGTGTATCTTTATAAATATCTCATTTACGAATGTTTTCTAATAGATTCTTCACACACAGTAAACATCTTACTATTATAATATTTTACAAAAACAGTTTATTAATAAATACGTTATCTATAAACATTATATGTAACTATTAATACGGAGACACTATAATCGACAATAATTGAGATTACGAGATGAAGCATAATGATGGTATTTATAAAATTAAATGAATCAAAAATATAATGCTCGAAATGTAGAAGGGAAAAAACTCGTTTTATAAAAAGAGAGGTGTATTTTTGTGACAGTCTGATGTGGATGGCACACAGTTTTTTTTCTATAGGGCGTATCATTAACATAGAACTGTTAAAGTATCGGTTGTGGTTTGGATAAATATCTTCTCATGATTATATCTTCATGTTATTACTCGTAAATCGTCGATTTAGAAGTGTTACATGATTGGACTTTGGTCATTCAAGCCACGCCGAAGCGGCAAGGCGGAGGTGATGTTAGGTGAGTGTCCCATGTATTGCTTTCAACGAGAATTTGAAACCTTGTTTGGATTTTGAAGCAAGTAAATTTGAATCTAAAATTGGGCAACGTTCAATGAATCAAAATTTGCGAGACTTTATTTTAAATCGATCGTATGACTATATCTCGGATTACACCCTTTGTAGATGTTTGTGGATTGTTCGGATTTTACGAAGCTCATTGAATTCTATTCTCGAATATCGTACGCTTATCTGTTATAAGTTTCTCAGGAACTTTGAGAATCGCTTGAGATTTTAAACTTATTAAATCGATGATTATAAAATGATACAAATTGCAAATTGCCCGGAACGTCTACAATCAATTTAGAACTTTGTGATCAGCCTGACATTTGATACTGTAACAAAAATCTTAACGTTGGTCTTAATTTACAATGAATTTCTTCTGAAAACTGAAACATTTGCAATATACATGTACTATAGAGTATAGCTATAACTATACGATATAGGTGAATAATAAAAATATTTTTTTACAACAATTTTAAACTCAAATTTTTCAAAATTGTGACTTGAGGGGACACTTGGTAGATCGGAGTTACTTACGTTCAGTGAAACAAGAAAAAACTATCGAGAAATATTCTCCTTCGTATAATACTCTCCGCCGAAAGCATGAGGCGGCAACCGCGCCGTTTGCAGAAGCAAGGATGAGGGAAAATGTGATGAAAACGGCGGCGGTGACGGCGCGGGCGGGTGCAATGACTGTGCCGCGCGCTGACCCGAAGCCAAGAGTCATTCTCTCTTTCCGTTTTCTTCCGTGAGAAGCCCGCACCGTGTGCTTCGAAGCACACACATGTGCGTTGGACGTAGGACACTACGCACGGTAGTACTGTAACGCGAGAAAAATGCACGATCGCTATCTGGCCCATCATACTAATTCGACGATTTACCGCGAAGCTTCTCATGCGCGATTATTATATGCCACGCATCTTTACGTTAATCGATGAACGTTGAAAGCCTTCTCCCCTTCTCCATTTTATTTTCCCTTCTTTCTTGTTCCCTTCTTCCTAAGTTCCTACCGCTCTCACTTATTCCTAGAACTATACCGATAAAATTTTTGATACCCTTCATTATGCCCACTAACTAGTTATAAGTTTTTATTTATTTATTTATTTATTCATGTCAATTTCATTATCAATTTTAAGAAATTCGGACAATTTTGTGTCATTATACGTTAAGTCTTGTTCTTCGAGAAATTGTTGTCTGTCTATACTATATTTATGACTTGTACTCCTCAGCTTGTTTGGTTTTACAAATTTAAATTTATACATGTGCTAGATTATAAATTATACAGTAGCACAGTTTGTCCTCTTTTGATGTGTTCGAATAAAATCTTACGACATGCATTTTTATTGCAGGTTCTATTATGTTTCACGTGAGGAGGAGGCCTGCAGATTACATGCCGCGGAAACGTAAAAAGAAACCATCCGGAAAGTGGAACGAGCTGGATCATAAGTATGTCAAGTTTTAGGGAAATTTTTATTCGGAGAATACATCAGAAGTTGCCCGACATTCTTTATCCGATGGATGTTTAGTCCATCATTAATCAGTTATATTTTGATGACCCGTAATGTTTCATGACGTAGCAGACCCTATATATATATATATATAGCAGATCTTTAATTCTTTAACGAACATTTTGACAAAATTAGCCATATTTGCTTTTTATAGGTATGAGGATGAGAGGCTACCATTTCTGCTAGAACTTAATCCTGACGGCAGCGATATCCCGAATGGCGCCGGAGTGCGACACCGATTACAACCGAATGTCACGGAGGTAGGATCAGAGAGACCGATAGGACCGCAAGCGGTGCAAGCGCAAACACTGACGCTGCCGGGACCGACGGTGATGCCCAGGCATTGCGTTATAGCCTTTACCGAGAACATTGTGACTCTTACGCCGTGTTCCAGAGACGCGCATACGTATGTTAACAATCAGAGGATACATCAAACGACCATTCTGCAGGTGCGTCCGTTTTTGCAATCAGGGTGTAGTCCCGTATATTCGTATTTTGTATTTGTATATACAGGGTATCTGCCGACAACGCTCGTGGGCAAGTGGAGCGAACTGAGTTGAAAAGTCCTACCAGTACCATTTTGCAATTTTCGCAATAATTAATGAGATATTAATTTCTAAAGATCGCGTATCCGCCCAACCTACCGCCAAATACACGCCCATCGATCGTAGTCACTTATAGTCACGCGGGGAATTGTTTTCTTTCGCCGCCGTGCGCAATTATTGCTGCTTGTAATAAACAACTCCCCGCACGTCTAGCGATCGCGAGCAATGGGCGTACATTTGGCGGCATGGCCGGATATACGCTTATTCGACGATCTTTAGAAATTAATGTCTCGTTAACTATTGCGAAAATTATAAAATGGTAGAGAGCTTTATTCTAACTCAATTTAGTCCGTTCTACCTGCCCACGAACGCGTGATAAACAGAATTACCAGACACCCTATATATGACCGCGTAATTTATGTAAATCTGATTACTCTTCTTAATATGAATCACAACTAGTACAGCAAATTTTTTTATTTTAATTTCGAATTATTATTTTATTATATTTAAAAATAATCAAATTTTTCAAACTTATGTGATTATTTGATATTTAAAACTAAGATTCCTAAATTAAGATTTGCTCTATTTGTCGTGATCCATGAAGAAATTACAATTTCTTTTATTTAAATATTTTTTTATATGATTAAATACGTTTAAAAAAATAATAAAATACCAAACAAACTTTAATTTTGTTATATAAAATAAAATTAAAATTTTCTTTATTTTAAATTTAATTTAATTTTATATATTGAATTGTTAGTGCGATTGAATCGAGAATTTGAAGAGTTAATATAATAATAAATTTCACTGTTGTTATTAGAGCGCATTAGGCAGAGACACGATTCCAACAAACAGATCGATTACGCTTATGACCGGTAAGTTTGAGTTCTCCTTTCTCTCATCGTTGCAATCAGATGAGAGAATAGACGCGATGCGCGAATGTTGCACGTTCGTTATTATAGTCAGTACATGTTCCTTTTTGTATTGCAATGTGAATACACTTAGAACAATAGTTCATATCATTACAATTATTAGATACTCTTGTTGCCGTATTGCATTAAATCTTATACATATGTAGATTTCTAATAATTTTACCTGAATTACTAATGCTTTGTCTCTGTGAAAGTATGGAATACTTCTAATAAATATTAAAATTTATAAATTGAGAAGCACAGTATAAATCTTTTTATATTAAATAAGAAGAAAGGAAAGGAAGAAAGATTAAAGGAACTTTTTACATGAATTAATCTAATTATGACATTTTATTAAAAATCTTCCATACCTTTGGCTATATCTTGTTAAAAAACCGAAACGTATTTTCCTACGAATTTTTATTACACTTTTTTCACTTTTTGAGTTTATTTCGCTTGATGTGCTTTACGTTTGCTTTTCCTGTCGTGATGCTCGCTTTACATACACGTAACGATAGACGCTCGCCGGACGCGACCAGTCAGGACGTCAGCTCAGAGAAGTTTCATCCGGGGTCTGGAACACCGAATGGCGGTGGTCAGATCCCGGGTCAAGCTCAAGAGCGAGCGACTCCGTCAAGCCCCTCGAAGTCTGCTGTTGCAGCAGTTCGTAGTCCTCGTAGTCCCACGCACCCGCCGGAGCCCACGCACAATTACGAGACCACTTTCGACCTGGATGGAAACGTGGAAACCGCTAGTCTGAGCAGCAGCAGGGACGGCAACAGGTAGCAAACCGGAACAATTATTAACAATTTAAAAACAATTTGAATTTCTTATGTTTCAAAACAATTTAAAATGAGGAAGTTAGGGCTACTAAGAATTGGTGCTTGTAATTAGTACGCGTAATCGGTACATATTAATACTAAAAAAACTATTCAATCAATGTTTAAAAACTCACGTTTGGTATTTAGTTATATAATAAGTTATATGATAAAACACGTACGTTTCGGCTACTTTCTAGTTTTCATCAGCGCAGCGCAATAAACAAATAGAAATAAATCATCGCGTCGTAGTCAATTAATGATGATTCTACGACGGGTTATGATGCTTGACTTACATCGAAAAAAGATACAATTAGAAATTATTAACATATATTAAAGTCGTGTTTATAATGAAAGACTTATAATGCAAATACCTTTATCTTAAGATCTTTATCAGGAGCAATTACAGTGTAAAACGTTCTTCAAAACATTCTGTGCATTTCTTATGAAATGTTTAAAAAGTATGCTTGATTTAACTTAAGTTATTTTCGTGATTTGTATAAGCTTATTTTTTTTTAATTCTTTAATTTGATCACTTTACATTTACAGCTTGTCAATTTAGCTAAGTTATTTATTGAATGCACAATTATTATGCATTATTAAGCGTTCTTTTAGAATAGCATTGCATTGTAGAATGTACACTGTCAATATTTTTGTACAATATTATAAATAATATAAATGTATACGTAGAATTATTCATAATTAAGGAAACTGTAAAATATAATGTTGTATGAATGTATGCCGTTAAATTATTTTTTGGAAACATTAATATTTACTTTTGAAAAAGAAGATTTGAAAGTTTGAATAGATTACGAGAAAAGAAATTAATGCCTATTGATTATTAGCAGGCTCTCACAATACGATCGGCAACCGCGAGGCACCGATCCAATTCTGCCAGCTGTCTTAGAATTTCTCGAGGAGACAGAGGAGACATTCCTTCACGCTGTCATCACCGATGTAGAACCCTCGGCGCCACAGTTCAAGTTGGCGCCAACGTACACCCTCTATCTCAGCGCCAGATATCGCGCCAGCACTCATTACAGACCAGAATTGCAGCCTACGGAAAGAGCGCATCGACTTACCGTCATGTTGGCGAATGTTGCTACTATGATACAACGCGTTATCCAGGTATTTCCACGTGAATAATTTTGTCCTTTCAAGCACAAAGTATCTGATTTTTTAAGATGGTCCATGTAAACTTTGAAATATCTTTGAATTATTTCAGTAATTTTATTTAAAAAAGTGTCTTAGTTTAGATAGAATCTAAAAGTGTGATTATGTTACAAGTGATTATTCATATAATAGCATATACGAATAGTTTATGAATAATGTATAATGAATATATGAAATATATATGAAGAATTTTAAGGAAAATTATGTTTTTAGGAACGTTACATGGACGCTTCGTCGTTGGCCTTTTGGTTAGCGAATGGCTCGGAGCTATTACATATGTTGAAGAGTGACCGGCATGTGGGTGCATTTTCCACGCGAGCGCAAGATATCCTGGCAGAAGCGGTACATACAGCCTTCGGCTCGTTGGTGCGCTGCGTCACATTAGAGCTCACACCAGCAATGACACAGTTCATGGCGGACGCAGATGAACCAGCGAAGGAGGCTGGAGTGCTGCAGATTTTTTCAAACACGATGGCCTTATTACGACGATGCCGTGTGAATGCTGCATTGACGATACAGTTATTTAGTCATCTGTTTCACGCGATCAATGCCACGGCTTTCAATACCCTCGTCTCGAATGGAAATCTGTGCGTCAGATGGTTCGGACGCAGACTCAAAGCGAGGTTGAACGCATTAGAGACCTGGGCCGAAAGACAAGGCCTGGAACTTGCCAGTCAATGTCATTTGGCGACGATCATGCAGGCAACTCATCTACTACAAGCTCCGAAATACAATGCTGAGGAGCTGGCCACGCTAAGCTCAACCTGCTTTAAATTAAATTCTTTACAAGTGAGGGCGTTACTACAAAAATATCAACCGGCCGCGGACGAGCCTAGGCTACCTGCCGAGTTGATCGAGAACGTAGTGAGAGTGAGTATATTTAATAATCTGCGTTTATATCTCTTATTAAAATAAAATATCATTTCATATTCTTCATACAATCGATCTTATGTATCATAGGTAGCAGAGAGTGTCGCGGATACACTTGCACGTGCAGACGGCCGCGAAATAAGACTAGAAGAGGAACCTGTCCTAGGGTTAGCATTACTACTTCCCGAGGATGGCTACAGTTGCGAAGTAATAAGAGGTGTCCCACCGGGATTAGCGGAATTTCTGGCACCTCTGCAACGAGACGGATTATGTCGAATGGCAGCTCAACCTACCAGTAGTGGTTATTGGACCATTTACATGATAGACCATCACAACAATGTAAGCTGCAAATTTTTACATGAAAATCTTTACATAGCTTTTAATACAAAAATTAATTACTAAGCAAATCATAACGTTGATAATCCGTCATTTTTATATGTGTTTCTAATTTAATAATTGTAGAAGAATATTTTTATATGTAATTTTTTTTAATTTCTTGCAGTTGCGTAGTCCCAGCGCAATGAGTAATAGATCGGGTGGCTACATCAGTCACATAAATCAAAACCAAACTCAACCTGAGATACATGTTATTAAATTACACAAAAGTACCAACGGTATGGGCTTAAGCATCGTTGCAGCAAAGGTGTGCATTCGTAGCTACGCATACTTATTTATTATAATAAAATTATATTAAATCTGTTATTTTAATTCTGATACGTAGGGCGCAGGACAAGATCGTTTAGGTATCTACATCAAAAGTGTTGTTGCTGGTGGTGCCGCAGATGCTGTAAGTAATTGCTGTTTATTTGGAAATATTTCATATTTATTACGACATCAAAATGTTTAAAATGATAATATTTAATATATATTAATTATTATCGTATCTATAATATTTTATACATGATAACATTTTTAGGATGTGCCAAGTTTTAATTATACGCTTTTAAATTAAATTAAATGCGTTATATTGCATTAAATATGGTTAGATTAACTAAAACTTTCTTTAAAATTAAAAAAAAAAACAAAACAATTTTAACAATAAATAAAATTTAAAAAACCCTATTATGAAATCAAAACTTATGCACAAGCACGCGCACACACTAAAGTAATTCTGATTAAGCTTTTACGAATTCTGAAAACAAATTTTCATATTATTCAATTAATTTAGTTTTATGTATTTGTGTTTTCAGGATGGCAGATTGACGGCAGGTGATCAACTACTCAAGGTAGACGGACAAAGTCTGGTCGGGATAACGCAGGAAAAGTACGAAAAGTTTTAATATACATATGTAATTTTAACTTAAATTTCTTAACAGTTCAAAATATTATATCATTAAAATTTATTCGCAGAGCTGCTGAGTATCTTGTACGTACCGGTCCGATCGTAACATTGGAAGTTGCGAAACAGGGCGCTATATATCATGGACTCGCAACGTTATTATCTCAACCTTCTCCTGTGATGTCAAGAGGTAAGTTCGAAGATTAATACTGTAATTTCCAAAACTAATTTAGTCTTTGGAGTAAGAGAAAGATAATTGAAATCTTATAATTGGGTTTTATTACCTAATCAGTTTTTCAATCGATAAAGCGCGTAAAGAAAATAATTCTGTACGCGATTTATATCTTATAAGAAATTCAGTTCAGTTTTTCTACTTTTCTTTCTATCGTGCAAGTATAATAAAGACTCAGTTTCACAACTTACGATTAACTTTTAACTGAAGTTCAACTTATTTCTCATCTCTTTCAAATTCTAGAATTAAAAAGAAATAAGGAATAAATAAGTTAAATCTCGGTTAAGAATTAATGCGTTGTGAAACTGTGCCTAAAAGAGTAAAAAATTATTAAGTTATTGTACAAAAATTTTATCATGAAATTACACACATGATGCAAATAATGCACATGATAAAAATTGTTTATTATAAATTGAATTAATTTAATGACATAAAACAACTTTTCCAAACGATCAAGCATGTTATTTTCTTACTTCAAACATACGTATCAACAAGTCTTATTTTCCACGAAATACTGATCAGATTTATCGCCAGCGGACATTTTCTAATCCAAGTAATCGCTTTGTCAGAATAACGCCTTTCGCTTTGCTTCGCTGGAAAAGAGCCCGCTTTATTAACGCTTGACTAACCACTTGTTTCATACAGCATGTAAGACTCGGCCCAGGTCCGAGCTCTTAGAGTCGGCGGTAGAGGCAACGGAGACGACCAATCAGCCAGCCACGTCACACTCAATGGGCGACTTATTGTCCTTTCCGAAGCAGGCGCCGTGTCAGGAGTTAGTTCAACCAGGTGCGATCTCATCTCAATGCATTTTCGAGACACCTTTTTACCATAATCAGATCGACCAATGCGCGTATCCCAGTGTCTATTCCGTCGACGACAGAGAACACATCTATTGTTCATCTACCCCTACTGTATCTCCCGTGCGTTTCTCGAGACCTCGTATACCTTGTCCCTTGATTTCTATCACGAGCGACAATGAGGTATCATCCGTCATATATCAGGATGAAAGCGATGAGAGGGACGATAAGATAATAGAGGAAGGAGATGGCAGCACGGAACAAAGTGGAGCCGCGACGAGTAATTTGAATTATTCGACAGATGCTTTAAATCTGTTCGAAAGGACCACCACTCCGCTGCGAGAGTATGCAGGAATTACGAAAGACTATAAACACTCGCTGTTAATGGAACCGCTGACTGTCGATAGAAATCTTTTCGATAATATACCCTACATTGATCAAACCGACGATATTAATTTTACAGAGTCCTCTGAATGTGTTCAGACAAACCCAAATAACAAATGCGAGCATTGTATTAACGCCGGCTGTAACAACTATAATCTTAAAAATTCTCAGAAACGCACAAATATAGAGCGTAATAGACAGCAGACTTTCAACGGTCTAGAATCTAGTTTTGAGTTAAATACATATAACAATCCAAGCTTTTCATTGACTAGTTCGTTTCCTGCGAATAAATCAATATTGTTTACCAAAGACGTTACAATTGGATCAGGTTCCATTGTAGAATCTAAATCAGACGATTTCTTGCGTCTTCAAGACGTGGATACCATAAAACATGTATTGAATATTGATAAACGGTACGAGGACAAATTAGATGATACGTCCAATTCCGAAGATTGCGCGGACGAATCTAGTTCCACGATTAACGATGATTGCGCGTCGAGTAGAACTGAGAGAGATACCGAGGAAGGAATCTCGACTCCTAAAATGTACACGATAATGCCAGAGTTGCATCTCGATCTGAGCGGACTGAATAACGACGTGTCCAGTGACAAATCTAAAATGGAGAAGTGTTGGAAGTCACCGGAAGAAGTGCGCTTAGGGTGCGGTCGAGTCGCAGCGCTAGCGAAACATTTCTCGAAACTTGGCGACGGAGGTCTGATCAAGTTTAAGTCCATCAAATTGAATGGTTCCCGTCAATTCGTGTCGGAGCCAAATATCATGACGTCGCATAAAAGCGACGAACATTTGCACCATCCTTATCATGCACAGAAAGAATACAAATCGGATTCGGACTTGGCAAGAGAAAGAGATGAAAACTCTCGGCTCTGTTCAGATGGGAGACACAACGATATCATTCTAGTTAATGTTGAAACAGATGGCGATTTTGCGATCGAGAAATGTAAGTTTCATCGTTGTGGCGGTAAACGAGTCACGATTGCCAGGATTCCAATGAACAAACAAATTACAATTGATACTGAGGAAAGTACAATCCAAGCAAGGGACGAAAATCACGATAAAGATATTATAAAAGATGAAAATCAAAGTTTACTTAGTACTAAGAAGGATATAGCTTTGATAAAAGTTGAAAACATATCGCATAATAGTAGCAAAGATCAGGTGTTTCTTAATACCAAAGAGGATATAACTTTTGTTGAGATGGAGGACATGGCAACGGATGGCAGCAAATCTCAAGCCTTTTTTATAGGTAGAAGCCAAAAAAATATGTTAACTGGAAAAGATAACATTAAAAATAGTAGCTCCAAACTCTCCCTCGAGCAGCAGAGAGTAATCGCAGAACAACTCGAGCAATTCTCAAATCTAGATAACGCCGATGCGCCTTTATTTATACCAGAGCAAGACATAGTAAAAGATTCTATAATTTCTAAAAAAAATCAGAATAATAAAACATCCGCGATTGATGATTTGACTCAATTGAATTTAATAAAGCAATTAGAGGCAGCACCTCGAGAAAAATTATTGTCGTTGGTCGATATAGATGATAACTTTAAAAAAATGAAGAAAACTTCTGATTCTTCATCATCCTCTTCTCTGCCTTCCGTTCGATCTCCTTCATCTTCCATCATGTTGTCACTATCGAATGTTGCGAAAGGTTCTCAGCCCTCGGAAGATATCAAGTCACAGATTCATCAATATTGCGAAAGATATCCCAAATGCTTGTTTGTAGATATTTCTGCCGCTAAGAATTGCTCCAACGACACCTCGGAAAGCTCATTGATGTCACATACAGACGTATATTCACGATTGAGTGATAATAAATGTTCAGTTCTGCGAATGCGAATTGCCAGACCTCTTTGTAATAGCGAAAGTAATCTGATCGGTGCTGCAATTTATGGAAAAGAGACTGAGAGAGCCATAAATCTTCACGACAGGTCTACTAAATTAACACGAAGCTGTGAAAGTATTTTAAATAGTAAATTTTTATCTGATTATGATGATCGAACACGATCCTCTGAAAATATCTCCGAAGAACTGGATTCATCTTGCAAGTTTTACGATAAATTGATCTCAAATCCTAACGGAAGTGTCCGATGGCACCATTATCGTTCTCTTGAAGAATTGAAATCGAAAAAGAGATCGAGAAAGCGAGACAATTCGATAAATTCTATTTATGTTCATTCTACCCAAACAAAATTTGACAAATTCTATGATGATCAATTAGACCTCGAGGACGGAGAAGACATGCATTGGAATCGTCATTTGTCGCTTGAAGAATTGAAATCTAAGAGAGAATCGCACGAGCAAGACAGGTGTACGAATTTAGAACGATCTGCTGACGTACAGAGATTTAACTGGATGCTGAAAAAGAGACTTCGCATGAAGCGCATAAGCAACGATCGGCTGAAAGATAATTCTCTTAAATTGTCGCGTGAAAAAGCGAAAGATATGGAACGACAAAAATTGAGAATAGAAGGGAAATCTCATAGCAAGTTTGACGTTTCGAGATGGAAGTCCGATTCAGAGAGATACAGTTGGAGTTTCCGCGAGATCAGCTCACTGAAAGATGATGACCGGTCCGCTTCGCGTAAGCTACCACTACGTGTTATACATTGAATGTGCATTTTTATAGTCGGATTTTTCTTTCTTCAAGCACTTTCATTTCGTCTGAATGAGACGAATGAAAAATTTACATTTGCAAACGGCTCGGTGTCGCACGGCTATTATTTACATACTTATTACGTTTGCTCCTATTTATTTATAAAACAGCTGTGATAAAGCAAAACCAAACGATTTTCAACATAAATCATTTCACATTCTTCATTCGCAATACGTTTTTGTGGCATGGTAATGATAAAACGGCATAATTGATAACTGATTAAATTATCTTTATAAAATTGTATAAAATTACAGATAATAAGCTATATATAAAATGATAACGTGTTTAGAACAATATAAGTATAATTTCTGTTTTGTCATATGTATACATATATAAGTAATATAAGGAACATGAAAAATTTTTTTTCTCTAAACAAAACTGAGAGAAACTGAAGATTTGATCGGGATAAGAAATTGATTTGATTAGTTTTTGATATAAATGCATCGATTAACATATTATTTATGTTAAATTGATATTTTAATATCTAATTTTGCTTTATAGAAGAGTGGATTGCAAGTATCATCCTGCAAATCTGGAGACGCGGTAGTGTCTCGGCGCTAAGCCAAGCGCAGCGACACTGCCGTGCCTCCTTTACGCGAGCCGATTATGAGTTGCGGGGGATTGAGATTATCGGATCTCAATAACGGCTAAATTGAGATTATCGGATCTCAATAACGGCTAAATTGAGATTATCGGATCTCAATAACGGCTAAATTGATCAAGTTCAATATACGCTCAATCCATAGCTACCGCTCGGATTGTATAATAAGTGTTTTTATTTTTTTTTCTACGTGCCCTACAAGCGGAGATATTGCGATGTAAAGTTCTAAATGTCTGGATTTTAAGATACGTCGTTAATAATATAGCAAAATGATAGAGGACTTTTCGACTCAGTTTAGTCTGCTCTATCTGTTCACCATCGTTGTCAGCAGAATTATTTTATTTTAATTGCAGTAAATCGCAAATTGTACATGAAAATGAAAAATCTTGAGTCGAATGGATACATTTTAGATTTATCCCGATCAACTCAAATTTATTAATTATTCTCTAGTTTAAATAGAGTAGAGAACTTGCTTTTACAGCAAAGAATTTGTGTTTTAATTAACATTTAATTATAAAATACAACACCAATATATCTTTCACAATAATAACACGATATATTTTGCTATACGCAAGCATGATACATTAATATAATTTTTTTTTCAAGATACTTTCTTTGTTCCATTATACTGCATTTAAAATAATATGCTTAGCAATATACTTGTGGTATCGCGTGCACATAATAGTAGTTATGTGCGTAGAAAGAGAATGTTTTATGTTGGATACAATTATTCAATTATGAACTACATAATAATTGTGACAAAATAAGTATTTTTTATTTCATAATTACATGTTCTTATATTTCTAATTAACAAACTAATTACATAATGCAAACGTGCACGCAGCGTATTTGTTTAAATATTAATTAATATTTATTGTGTGCAATGCCCTTTCTGTAAAATCCGATGTAATATTTTTCTATTATTGAAATTATGAATCACTTTTGGACTTTAAATAGCTGTATCAATATTTTAATATCCAGCCAACGAGAACTATTTTTTGTAGTCCTGTTGAAACACAATAATGCATATACAAACTTGCTCATGCTCATCATTGTTATAAAGATCTTACAGTTGACCATATGACATTTTCTTTTTTCATCACTTTCACCTTGTCAAAGTTAGACTTCTGCGATCCAAAAAAAGCGTTTTTGTTCTCAACAAATGCTTTGCATATGTGCATGAGTAATCGTTTTAATGTCGCGCTTCGATACCTTCATGTTCATCAATGCATTAACTCAAAGCTATCTCTTTGTGTACCCGCTTTGGGCTACCACAGGTCCTCGTCGCATGAGTGAGCGGGATTTACCGTCGCGGCTTGGACATGACGCCACTCTTCAGCAAATCCATAGCAGCAAGTCTGTACCGGCATTGCATAGTAAGTAAAAGCGAGCTTTGTGTGTGTACATTGTGCCCGAATGACACAGCTTTATCTATCAGTTTCACTAGATATATTAGCATAGGTGTTTATCTCTTATCGAATTGCACAGTTTTTCATGATTTTACTAGATTAAATATAAGAGGAACATCTTCTGATTTAAGTAGGATAAGGATATATCTGATAGGAGAGTATATGCAAGGATACATTATTTATTCGCTTGTACATAAAAATGGGATTTATGTAGATATGGATACCGAGGCTAAGCAACAGCATGAAGTGTTCAATCCCGGCTACAGCAGAGCTTCTTCCAGCAACAGCGTTACACCGCCTGTTCAACCACCTCCTATGGCGACAATCAACAGTGCAACTTCCTTACGTTCCAGGTAAATATCATCGCATTTTTAATTGAAATTGCTTTCGATGCACATTTTAATATATCTCCCAACTTTTTCGACACTAAATGAAATTTTACATAATCTGTCCTAGAGAAACTAGAGATAGTTCTTAAAAATAATAAATTTTTTAAAAGTACCAATACGTATAAAGTATCTAAAATCAGAAAGATTTAATCAACCTTTTTTTATGTATTAATTTCATTCAATATTATCTAATGTTTTTTTATTGTAAATTGTACATTCTGTTAAATTACGAGAAACGATATGTTTATAGAATAACATATTCTTGTATATATAGATCAAGCCATAACTTGCATGATCCCATGAGAATCGGAACTTTACCGTCCACTGGCTTGGTCAGCAGGCAGCAATCGTCGCCCAATTTGAATCCAAGTACGTCGCACATGAATGCACCATCGAATGTACAGGGCACAGAAGCAGAGCGATTTTATCAAAATCTGAGTATTTATCGAAACCAAGACTCGACGGTGAAGCAACAAATCAGTCCACAACAATCAGATGATAGGTATAACCTCATATTTTCCTATTTTTATATAAGCACTTCTTTTATACCACATTTAGTGTTTAATCATTATTTGATATTCAAAAATGTGCTTATAAATTTATTTAGAACGTAATTTTATAATTTTTCTTAACTGTTCTGTTTTGAATACTTTCTAAATTAATTGCTATGTCTAGCAGAAATCTTCAGCACATCCAAAAGGGTTCATTAAAGGGTTCACAGAACTCATTGAACCGTCCCTCTACTATGGAAGTTGGCAACCATTTCCGAGACCGTCCGACATCCGCTTACATCACCCAAGGCCAACAGCAGAGCTACTCGGCGGTTAGCAATCAAATACAGCAGCATATTGGAGGTCTACCACCACGTTCCCAGTCTTCGCGCGACATTATCCGCCAGGAGGCGAAGATGCAGGAGATGCAGGAAGAAGTTCGCCGACGAGAATTGCGTGGTGGCGTACCATTGCTTAATCAACATAGACCGCCAATGTACAATATCGGCACTCGAATGGCAGTTCCTCCTGCTCAACAAGTGTCGAACTTGCGTTCACCAAGGCCACTCGGTTCCACGTCGAGTCTAGGAACGACCTCCAACTATGTCGCGAGACAAAATGCGCCCAGTTACAATTACCCGGATGTCCAGTATACTCAATATAACAGCACGCAGTATGGTCAATATGGTCAATACAATCCCAACCGATATCCGGTAATTGGAAGTCAATTCGGCCCGATGATGATGCCCAAATCGAAAAACGAGACGATTGCGCGCGACCATCAGTCACTAAATGAAAATCTACTCGGTAGAGACTCGAGCAGCCAAGAGGCAAAGTCATACGCCGAACAGAACCGACATTTCGCAGGTTCACAGAATAATCCGCATTATCCGAATGGTAATCTAGAACACCGCGTCGATCAATATGGGAATGACAACCGTGCGCAAAACGGAGATGGCCACTCTACAGAAGTGCCGCCAACGAGACCGGCTTTGCCATCTGAGGATACATTTAGCGAAAGTCCACCACCGCCGCCGCCCAGCACTTCGACACATCCTCTATACAAGCAAGCCGACACGAGGTACGCATTTTAATGAATTTAGAGGTCGTTTGTTGATTATGTGATTTAAGCAAGGAACATAGACTCTTACATAATACATAACACGTAAGGTATAAGAAATTCAACCAATCACAGTTTATTATTTCATGGAAAAGAAGGAAACGAAGGACTTAGATTGGTACATTTTCTTATGCATTACGTGTTATGCATTAAGCTGGTTCTACATTAGTCGCATCGCAGTGTCGCAAGCGTTGGGGTCCAATCAACATCAATCTAGCTCGACTCTGATTGGATTATGCAAGAGTCTGTGCACCCCGTCTTATGGCCATTCTATAAGTCCGGATCTACAATAGGTGTTTTAAACCTTAAGCTGTAAGAAATTTACCAATTACAGTCGAATCCGAGGGGAATAATCGACTGTGATTCGCCCATTTCTTATGGCTTAAAGCTTAAAACCCTATTGTAGGTCCGAGGTAATAAGTCATTAGTCATAAATCAGAAGTTAGAAGCTAAAAATTGACGACTGTGATTGGTCCGTTTCCAGCATCTAACTTCTGATTTATTGGCTCATTGTAAAATGCTTAGTAGAATGCTTGTTATAGACTTTCTACAATAAGTCATTATCTAGGCTCTAAGTCTTATGCCAGCTGCAGACTATCACCATTTCGTCGCGACATATCTAATGAGCGTATAGCTTTAGAATGAGAACATCGGTAAACTTGTACGCCCATTGGATATCGCGTGTCGCGCGCGACAAACATCGCGCTGGTCTGCAGCCAGTATTAAGCCGTAAGAAATTGATCAATCACAGTTGAATGTGAGAAGAATAATTGACTATGATTGGTCAATTTCTTATGGCTTAAGATTTAAAGCTTAGGTAATGACTTATTGTAGAAAGCCCATTAGTCATGGACCTATAATATATGGACTGCGCCATCCTATAGTATATGCTGAGCCGGCAGAACTGAGAGAGTAGTCTCGAACTTTAACGCTTAATAACTCGGTTCATAAGGCCGACCGCCGCGTTTTTCTCACAGATTCTTTCGTTTTGAGTGAAAACGCGACGAATGAGTATATTTTTATTAAGATTTTAGGAGGGCAAGCTATTTACTTTTTAGGACACACGTATTTAATACACATATGCATAACACAGTCGCAAGTATACTGCACACATATAAATATTCAATATGGCAATGGGATGTTGCAAGTTATTCCGTTCGACGGACATGGCAGAACATTTTTCGTGACCAACTTTTTTCTCCATGTCCTATCTAGTTAAGTCTCCTTACTCTTACTTCATGGACTGTACTTAAGGCGGTCTTGAATATAAGAATCGACTATGAATACCGCCCTTAGATAACCTCTCTCGTAGTGGAAGTGCTATCTCTCTTCTTCCATTTTGTTACGGCACACGCGTTGCGCGTATGTATGGAGGGGAGAAATGGTACAATTCTTTCCATCTCTCTCAGTTCTGCTGGCTTCACGAAAACCCGGCATATACTATAGCCGTGCGCAGTCCATATATTATAGGTCCATGCCATTAGTATGATCCTAAGGCTAGGTCCACAACCTTGCTTTAAGAGGCCGTAAGCCGTAAGCTTTAAGTTGTAAAGCCCATGGCACATACAAAAACCTAAGGTCGTAACACGTAAGCAATAAGGAAATCGTAATGCGTCGTCTACAATGGCAGTATCAGTAATGAATGAGGCTATAAGAGTAAGAAATTGACCAATCACAGTCGATTATTTTTCTTACATTCAACTGTAATTGGTCAATTTGTTACTTTTATGCGTCGTCTACCAATACACGGAGTGAGAAGTAAGAATAAGAAATTGACCAATCACAGTCCAATGTGAGAAGAACAATTGACTGTGATTGGTCAATTTCTTACTCGTACTTCTTACTCCGTGTATTGTAGGCGACGCATTACAGTCTCATCCACTACTGCTACTGCCATTGTAGACCATGCATAAGATTGGATTCGCTACTGGCGGCCTTACGGTCTTTATCGTGATTGGCTAATTCGCTTACTGATTACAGCCTTACGTCTTACAGCCTTACGTTTTTGTATGTGTCATGGGCTTAAGTGACGATATATCGGCTACAGAACTTATGCTTTTAGGCCGTAAGAATTGGGTTTTGCTCAATTCGTTTAAGTCTAAAGGTCCGTCTACAATACACGTCTTACAATACACGTAGTAAGCTTGGATTAAGAAGTAAGAGTAAGAAATTGACCAATCACAGTCGATTGTGAAAAGAATAATCGACTGTGATTGATCAATTTCTTACTCTTACTTCTTCTAAACCAAGCTTACTACTGTATTATAGACGGGCCTTAACGGTTAAAACCTAAAGACTGCGCAAAAACAGTTTAAAGACAGAAATTATTGTTACTTATGGTCAATTCTAAGCAGAATCATAGGACTCGTAATGTGTTCTCATAAAACTTATAAGAACTTATGACTAGTGTTCTAATTTTATGCGTATGTATCGTAAGATGTACGATTATTCGTAAATATCTACGATTTCTTGTAAATTTTATGGCTAGTAAGAAGCTGTTTAAAAAAATATTGTATAAAAAGCACTTATAAGCACTTAAAAATTCTTATAAGTCTTACAGAAACATGTTACGAAGCCTTACGATTCTGCTTAGAATTTAGGCATTAATCTCTTTCGACTTAATGACTTAAGGCTTCTTAAAGCAAGGTTGTGGACCTAGTCTTAGGGCCCCTTCCACCAATTTCGATTAACGCTAATCGATGATCAATCACGATTGCCAATGTGAGAACTAAACACAGTTTGTATCAGAAGAGAAAGAGAGAGGAGGGACGTTCTGATACATTAAATTACTGTTGGCACTTATGCGAGTTAATCGTCGATTAATTTAATCAGTTGGTGACAGTTGGTGAAAGAGATAACGAAGGAAAACTTTGTAGATATACCGCAAGCATGCAGGATCCACCACGAGGTAGTTATTATCCTGTGGGAGGAATCAGTGCCATGCAGCAACCGCGTCAGTATCAATATAGCGCGACGAACCCTTGGCAACGCGAAGAAAGAGAGAAGGTAATTAATAATGAATGAAATCGATAAGTCTCGTTAGAGTGATAAATTTTAGTTTAGATTCATTTTTTTATTATATATTTCTTGAAATTTTTGTTCTCTCTTGATAATTGTTGTGTAATTGAGAGTTTTAAAAACAAATTTACTGGAATTTGCAATGTTATTATATTTTTCTTTAAGAACATTTATTTGATATTGGTATCTTTAGGAACAAGCTCGTAGAAGAGAAGCCGCTCGTCAATGGCGAGATCAACAGATTGCTGAGCTAAGTGCGCTGACACATCGAACTCAGCAGCAGGAGGAGCAATTGCGAGCTCTTCAACTGGAAAGAGATTTCCAGAAGCGTGCGGAGGAGATTGCCAATCAGGACGATGATGAGGAGAGCAACGATTTAGACAACGAAAGTGTGCAGCGCGTTCAGGGCTTGCTAAGGATGGCAGCCAGTCAAGACAGAACTGTCCATGGAGCTCTGCAACCACCGATTTTATCGAGAACAATCACAGGCAACCAGTCTATGAGAGGTGATTTGCCTCTCCTGAGCAGCCAATCTGTCACCAGCAGTCACACTCACATTCTGCCCAATCAAACAGTGCCTCAGAATGTCGAAATGAGCAGTCCTGGTCAAGAAAATAATAGCTTGCACGTACAACCAAATCAGCAGCAACAACAAACGGCGGGTCAGAGTGAAGAGCATGTATCGCCAGCTAATTATGGCACACATAGCCATTTCAGTTCTGGTCAGAAGTCTTATTCCATGAGTATGTCACATTCCATAGAAGATAGGGAACTGCAACGGAGAATGGATGAAGTGAAGCGGAAACAGGCTGAATATGAGAACCAGAAAAAACAAGAAGAACAGCAGCAGCAAACATATCAGTCGAATCAACATCCGCGCAGCCAGCTACATCCTGGCATGTTGCGCTTAGACAACTTGATTATTAATGGTCCTAACATATCTACGTGTTAGTAAATTAAAGTTGTTTTTAAAACTTTTATAAATTTGAAACATTAAACTTCGAGTCTTTTGTATTCTCATATTTCTTTAAAGAGAAATTGTCTCAAAATATTTTTCCTATCAACGAAAGATTTACAAATACAGTATATTATAATTATATGTTTTAGATAATTACATGATTCGACTTATGTAGTATTTATGATATTTATTATAGCTTCGCAAAACAATGTAAATGATGCACCCCCACCACCAGAACGAGGCTCTAGTTATGCCGTTATGTCTCAGCAGAGTGCTCTCAGATCAAACGGCTCGACCACATCTAATCTACCTCCCACTTCTCAACAGTCAACATCTATGAAAAGAGTTTCTTTTCATGATTCGAATGCAAACAGTGAGTCCATGCTACGCAATGTATCATCTGGAATGTCAAATCCGCCGTCAATCTCAATGGATACCATTAGAGAAGATCCCAATGTGAGTAATTATAACATCTATTTCTTTTATTCTTTTTCATTTACCTTCTTTACTTTACTTGTATTTTGTCCTATGCTTTAACATATTTGATCTCAATTTAAAAAATTGCAAATTAATGTTATACATTTTCCTTGTGATATTATTTTAGTATTTACGTTGTCACGTATGTCCTGATTCTTTGTATTCATTTTTTTGAGAGAATAATACCATTCGAGATCATATAGATCTCATTCCTATTTTCTAACGTACGATCTGTAATTTAAATAATTAGAGATTAATTAATATCCCCTTGAGATATTAATTTATATCACTTATAATACAAATTTATTATAAATATGAATATCTTTGAAATGCTTACGATGGCAGATAAACAAGTAAGGTATAAATGTTAAAGCAGATCGTTGCTACATCATGCTGTCATTATGTTTATGATGCATGAATCGTCAGTTATACCAATTATCATCTAATGATCATGTCTCTCATTCAAGTGTCCGCTGTAATATTAGATGTTCTATTCATATTTTATCCTATGTTATCTACATTCATGTTTCATGTTGTATATAACTTGTGTCAGTCTCTGTGATTGTTGCTTTATGCGTACATCATTCTGGTTGCTCCCAAAAAATACATTTTTGTTACAAAGTAATAAGTTCGAATTTAAATTCAACCTTCGATCAAAATTTAATCTAGGAATTATCATATGTTATTATATAATAGATATTTTGTTAATTGAGTGTCAAATTTATTATCCATTAATGTAAATTATGTATATTAATTCAACGAGCTATAATAATTTAATTTATGCAATAATAAATGTCATAAAGTGCCACTTTTGAAATTTTTTAATTTGGTAAAAATTTAGATTAGGGAAGCACCTCCTAATGAACTCGACCTTGACATTTGTTGTCAAGGTCATGATCCTGAGTAACCTCCAACAGATTTTAGGAGCGTCGCTCGTTATTCGTTAAAAAGTTATTAACAGTCAAAGTTAGTAAATATTTCCCTGCTTTTTTTATGAAGAGTCAGATAACTTTAGACAGACAGAAAGGTATGAGGTGGATGAATTCAAGGAATACAACTTTCCATGCAAAAAAAGGACTCTCATCCCACCTTCCTCCTGCTTAGAGGCGCACGACTTCCACGCGAAGCGACTCCCACACGAGTCTCGAACATATACATTTCTTTTCTGATGGCCTTCCGAAGATTTTCGTGGAAAAAAATGTCAACTTATGTATTATTGTGCGCATGAGGGGATGTAATCCCAGGGCGCTTCCTCTCTCTCTTTCTCTCTCTCTCCCCCCCCCCCTATCCCCCTCCTTTTCTCTCTTCTCCCCTCGCTCTTTCTCTCTCGATCTCGATCTTGATCTCAATCTACATTCGCGTCAGTTGTGGCGATTCCGTAGGTGACGTAGATGTTTGACAAAAGCCCTTGATTTTCTTTTATACCAGGGACGAGAGTCCACTAAAATTTATTCCATTCCGCGCGTAAAAATAGAAGAAACGATTAAACAAAGGGGCGAGGGATAACGCTGTCTTAATTTTCGCGGATCATGCTAGTGTTACGGGTCTAATCGCTAAGGTCAATCGATTAACTCAGTAGTAGGATGCTACGGGTCAAATCGATCTTCATCAGGTAACTCAAAATGACTCTAACGATAATGGAAGAACCTAATGCATGATGAAAATAATTCTAAAACTCGGGGATGCTTCCTAAAAAAAGAAAAAGGAGAAGGAAAAGAAATAAATAAAAACAAATAAATAAATAAATAAAATAAATAAAGGCCGAGACTTATTTAGTGTGCGGGCCGAACGTATAAATCAGTTGGTTGAACAAGGAGACCTTCTCGGATGGGCTCTCCGTGATGAAAACGATCTCGAGGGTGTTTTGTAGATGTATGGAACTCGACCGCACCAAGTTAAGAAAAAGTTGATCGCCTAATAGAACTGGCCCGGTCACGGACTGTCAGAATATTGAGTACCCGTCAACTAACTCGGCGTTCGCGAAGAGTCTTCTTTATATTCGTGAGTCGGTTGTACGGGATGAAGATGTCGCGTATGATAATGATCCAATTTAGGATTAGGATTAATGGTATCGATTACAAATTGGAGATCGGTATCATTTATGGCATAAATTGAAGATTAGTTAGTTAGAAAATTTGTACGTAGGTATACGTAAGATATTGATGTGGTAGTATCATATGTAATAATACTATATGTAGTATTACATATATGGGTAGTATATAAAGATGCGCTGGAAAAACAGCGACATCTGGTGATTTCGTCGGAGGTCGAGCTTCACTTTAGGATCTCCTTAAGTAAAGACTTTTGAATGTCAGATAATTAAATGACTTTTAATTTAAAAAATCCGGCACGAATTTTTGCATTCATTAAATGTATTTGCTACATATTAATATTATTAATATACGTATACTCTTATTATTTAATTATGTTCCAGAATTTTATCAACGACGCGGAGAATTTATTAGCCTCTCCTAAGACACCGGAAGGATCCGGGACTTCGTTTACTGGCGCCACCCCTGGTGTAATCGGAGCTCAAGAAGTCTATAAGTAAGTTTTTGTCGTACATATGCTCGCGCGCGCGCGGACGCACGCACGCTCACTCGCTCGCTCTTACAAAGATTTTAAGAGCTAGTACCGAATAAACGAATCTTTTGACGTACTCTCTAAATCTGAATCAGTGGACTATCCACTGATTCAGATTTAGAGAGCAAGTGTGCTAAACACTTTACTGTTCCAGGGACCCGAGACAAAAGCGATTGGCGGAAAAGCAGAAACAGCAACAAAACTCGCAGATTGGCGCGGTGCCGGAAAAGCTCAGCTTTAAGGAGAAAATGAAAATGTTCGCGATGGAGACTGGCGAGGATGGCACACCGCGAGATAAAGTGAAGATCTCGCGCGCTCAGCGTGAGATTGACAACATCAGCAGCCCACTTAATTCCAATAATAACAATAATAACAATAACACCACCACCAGCGGCAATAACACTAATAACAATAGGACCTAAAAAATGTTACATTTTTATTTCCAGGCTTTAGCAATTAAGATAGATGAAATATTTTTTGAAATATCTAGGGCGATTGGACGAAAGTCACGACTGTGAACTGCATAATCGCGGCGCAAAAAGATAATCTGTTTAAATTTTATATAATTTGGCCGAAAGATAACGTTTATCACGCTGCTAACATGATACATTTTTGTAGATATACATATACCTCAATTTTTACAAGAATAATATTTTCATTTGAAGGAGCTATCGTTAGCAAAGGGTAAGAAAAGTTTATCACTTACGAAGCTTACATTCATATTTTTTCTATTAGCTATATTATACATAATGATTAAGATTACTGAATATTTCTGCCTTATTTTTCCCGAACGTCCTAGATACTTTGTCGTGCATTTTCTGGATGAAGAAACATACAGAGAAATATACATACTGCGTATAGTTATAGTTTCGCAAGCAATACATTATAATTAATTTTATTACTAATGATACCACACATGGGCTTACTTTGCATTCAGAATGAATTCGATTAGCCGGCAACGATTGTCCACACAACGTTGAAGTACAAATAAAATTTTGTATAGCTCTTTGACCAAAAATGTTGTGTGTTTTGTGAACCAATAATGCAACATAATGTTGCGGACGTATTTTAGTCGCGATGATAAAGAAACTGTCCAACCATTTTCGTACGCGATGCGTTCAATATTCCTAAATACTTCCGGACCAACGTAATCTTATTATAAAATAACTGATATAATTTGTCAAGACTAGTATGGCATAGGATAACGCTCGCGAGTACTAAATAAGCTTCTGAGAGGCATGGATTATTTCGTGAGGGTAGCTTGCGAATGTACATAAAGAGGAGACGAACAGTAGGCCGGGCAGCATGATTATTGTATGTGTTAGTTTTGTATTTATCTCTCGGCAGCGAAAGATTCTGATATATATTTAAATTGTATCACTGTATCTGATTTACACACTTATGCCATTATGCACTTAACGAAGTATGACAAAATAACAAAGGTAGATAGAAAATAGAACAAAAAATAGAAAAAAAAAGAAAAGGAAAACGTATTCGTATCAACGGGAACATATGTGCGCGCGTGTATGTGCGTATAAATGACAAAAATGAAAAATCTAAATATAACGAAAGATTTATATTTATATATAATGCGTTTCTCTCTCTCTCTCACACACACACACACACACACAACAGAGAGAGAGAGAGAGAGAGAGAGATGTGCATGGACGGCACTTAGTTCTCGTATTAAAGCTCTATTTTGCATAAAGTTCAAACGAGAGTTCTATTCCTCATAGAACTCGAACGACAGAGCCCCTACCATACTGTAAAACTCAAACAAAAGCTTTTAAGATACAAACTAAGGTTCTACTTGTATAGAGCATAGAATAAACGCGTTATGCGATACGTATAATGCAACTAGGATGAAAGATTCCTATCGAAGTGTCTCCACTTGTTTCACTGACGATTTTTAAGGAAACTAAAATCTTATGTAATTTATCGATGTTTTATTGATATCAGGTTTCATTTTGATAAGTTCTTGCTAATTTTTGAAGTATGATTAAGAATTTTTTTTTATTTAATTAGTAATACTTAGAGAAAGAATTGTTTTTGTTTATTAAGCTTGATCTTATAAGAGCCACTAATATAGAGTGAATCATTCAAGATGTTTATTGTAAACATAATATTCATCACTTATATATGTACATATTTTTTATGGAGCTAATTAGCATTGGTTTTCATCTATTAATGGATTAATTGCTACTTTGAGATGTATTTCGGATTCACATAGAGATATAAAATAAATCATGGACAACTCACAAGATTTATGATGTAATTATCAATACGTTTATTACACATATAAAAGTAATATTGTAACAAATCTTAGCATATTACCGCAAAATTTAATATTTATTTTATATTAAATATGAAGAATTCCAACGAGCATCAAGAAACAAAATTTTTACAAAAATGTTTCAATGAATTTTTATCATTGAGCGATTTTTATTACAAAAAGCACAAAAATGAGATTTTTATTCGTCAAATAATGTATATTATTTCATAATTTCTACGATCAATCAAATTATTTTATAAATTTAAGAGATATCGATTCTTTTTTAGGAACAAATCAATTTCAAATCGCAAGATGTTGCGTGTAATCAGTTGAGAATTGACATCTTAAGTATCTCACTCTACGTAATTCTTCTGTTAATCGCATCAACGCTAAGTAATAATTAAATTATTGTCATTAAGAAGCGAAATTTGCTTGAAATGTTTCTTCTAAAACTTTTAAGTTTAATTGATCCTTTTGCATCTCAAATATTCGCGGATGGTAAAGCAGTATTCCAAAAAAGAACTTAGTGATCTAACGTGAAGAACAAAGTATAGCAATATTAGGATGTAAGAAACAATTTATGTAATAACTATACAAAACGATCGTAGAAGATGCTCGTTAATCGATCTTTCGTGAGATAGAAATCGTCACGCGAATTGATCCAAAAGTTTGCGGCACTCGAAAAGTATTTGACGTTTCTCTCAATGGTTTATTATATCTGTTAAAATTATGCAACATTCTTCAAAATCATTCAGTCTATCTTCTACGTTACGACAAAGTAAAATTATTGGCTGTTATTGCGTTTCAACAGTATTCCTGGGAACGCCAAGTATGTGTGTGTGGTATGTATGTGTGCGTGTGTCAAGTATTATTTGTGAAAATGATTTGTTTTTGCGCATTTTCTTTCAAAACTCATAAATATTATAAAAGCTTATCTTCCGATAAGATAGATAGATAGATAGATAGAGAGAGAGAGAGAGAGAGAGAGAGAGAGAGAGAGCATGTGCACAGAATGCAATACTATCATCGCATAATTAACAATGGCTGCGTTCGGAAATGATGCTTCGGATTCATCCGAGCGACGTTTCCGAACGCAATCAATATAATATTAATGCAATAAGGTCAATAATAATTTTCTTTACATCCAAGAAAAGTCATATACACTTCTATTCTCATGTATATACATTCTCGAATTTGTCTGTTTAACAAATTGCAAGCAGAGCTGAACAGACAAATTAGAGAATGTATGTACATGAAAATAGAAGTGTATATGATTTTTCTTGAATGTAAAGAAACTTCCGTATATTGTTTAAACAAAGAATTACATTGCGATACGGAATAGCTATATAGTCGATTGACGATTTTTAAAAAAAAACAATGACCCCATAATACTTTTACATTAAATTTTTTGCGTAAATAAAGCATTTCATTTTCTTTAGAGAAGAACTCTACGATTAATCTCTAGCGACTTCAGCAAATCGCTTTCCTTAGAAAAAATCGTAGAGGAAATGCACTTTCATCTTATTTATCTGTTCCTTTTTTATTTACATATTTTTTCCGTTTATACGCTTCGATCTCTGATATTCCGGCCTTTATCATTCCTCCACTTAAGGATAGTGATAATGTATTGAGCAGCTTGTTACACGCTACCGTGCAACTTTTACTCATAATCACAACGAATTTCCATTTTCGAGCCGTTGTACATACAATTGTCGCATGAGCGAGGTTCCATCGTTTGTAGTCTTAATTTTTAATTTATTAGGTTTATTCGTGTCGCAAGCTCCAACATGTTCCAACATGCTTCCACCATAGCTCTTACTCACTTCAACCCGTTTGATAGAGTGAGTAAGAGCTATGGTAGGAGCATGCGACGCGAACAAACCTTTAATCAGCCATATCGAGCCGGTTAAGGTCGAGTCGACATTATGAATAGCGATTAATTTTGCAGAGAGGAAGGGTCATTCAAAATGCGTCATTCAAATCGCGTTGAGGTGAAGCCTAAACTCGTTATTCAAACAAATATATTAATAGACGAGAGAAAACGAGAGAAAAAAAAAGATAGAAAAAGAAAGAGACAAATGATGATCGAAGATCCCTTATTGTTGTGTATAGCGCGCGTGTTGCACTATATTTTGTAAAACTGTTTTCATAATCTCGTACGGAAGAAAAAGCTAGAGACGAACGGCGATGTCAGCCGTTTGACTAGTCGCCGAAAGCGACCAAGAGTGACTCGATACATCACGGGAATGTTATTAATATTACTGTATTTTACTTATAATATACCTATTGTAATTTCACAAAGTACAGTATATTTTTTAATTATTGTATCATGTAATGTTATTAGTTAAATACGATATTTTGGCGGAAAAATATATGTCAGCTGTATTCAACGCTTGAACTGCCTCTTTCGCCTTCTCTATATATTACAGTATGTCTCTATTATTTATTTCTATATCGATGGAACACCCCACATAGCAATGTATTTCCTTAGGATATCCTAATTTGATCAGATTGCTGCCATTCTGATCCAAAACATTAAATCATCCATGATTAACTCAGGACATTTATAATTATCATTGTACTAATATAAAACGTCCCTAAGATATCCTATTTTGATCCGAAAAAATTTTGATCACTATATTGATAAATTGCATTTTTTGACTTTCGACACATATATGTCATATACATTTACGTATTTTACATACATTATAGAGACATATCTTTGCAATTTAATTAATTTTTTAAATGTATACATAAATATCTCACACAGACATACTGAAAATTATCCTTTGTTTCGGGAAGAATTTAATCATATTTATTTTTATATATGTTATTAATTTGGCAGTTGCAGCTATAGCTTATTTTGTTTTTGTTTTATGCATAATTTATTTTTAAATAAGTATATGGTTATTTATTAATTGACAAAGTAAAAGGAGTTTTCGGTTTATTTTACAAAATCGGTTCTATCGATTGTAAGTATTGTTTTAATGAAAATTTTCCATTTTACTAATTAAACTAACTTATGAATAACTCTATTTAAAAAAAGCACTTTCAAAATTCAGAGGCTCCATGAGCACACTCTGATCAAGTTAAGGGTTAAGAGTAAAGGCTCAACTGTGATTGGTCGATTTGCTTGCGACCTTACAATTACGTCTAAAATTTTTGTACGTGTGATGGCCTTAAGTGAACTTTATTTGCATACGCCTCTTTATAGGGATCTCGCGACGGTACTGTGTACTACGTCGCTTGACTGCGCCGTGAGATGAACTCGTTTTCCGTAAGGAGAAAATGACGCAGATATCTATAAAGAAGCGTATGCAAATAGAGTTAGTCACTTACTCTTAGCTTGATCACCGTTCGAACTGACGACAAATCGTAAAATGAAAATCAGGCTCAATCTGTTAAAGCCCAGGGAACTCAAATCCGGACAACGAAATACAAGGGCTGAGCAGCAGTTCAACGCATTCCATGGCGCCAAATGGAAGAAATTTGTGGCAGGCGACAGTATTTACTATAAACTCTATAGTGACAAGTGGCAATGAGTTCCGGGGTCGATAACCGAGAGGATCGGGTCAGTTAATTACCGTATTAAAGCCAGCACGCCAACCGGTGAACGGATAGTTAAAGCCCACGCTAATCAGCTCAAACAAAGTCATAATGTGAACGAGCTGATTGAGCTATACGAACTGC